CCCTTTAAATCATTGGGCCTCAGAGCACTTCCCCTCTCTGTTCCCCTCCCCCGGTCAGGAGGCCTGCAGTCTCCCCTGAGAAGCACTTTCCCCTCGAGAGCCCATTAGCCTGCAAACAGTCTCACCAACAACAACCGTAACGTGTTAACTTGCAGTGCACACACAGACCTCAACACACCACACAGACCCAAGAGCCTTGGTGGAGGTCCGACCACCCTTGCTTATGGAGACCCAACTCCTACCTAGGAAGAGGGACCTTGCTCAGAAGGTGAGTTTGCCGGCAAATGTAACCCCCCTCCAGACAGGACATGGTATGAGTCTGTTACAGCTCAGCCTTTTCAGCTCTCGCTGTACGGACCCATCACCGCAGTATCGGCTGCAGGGCGAGGCGAGGGAGGCATTTGTCTCGGGTGCGTAGCTGAGGGGGCGCAACCTAAGCACCGGCGACAGCCCCTGCCCGGATCCCAAGCAGCAGAGCACCCTCCGATCCAAAGGACCTGCCTCTCCCCCTTTGGCTCCCCTGCCCTGCAGCTGCAGGAGGGATCCCTGTGGCCGGCTGGGGAGCGGCACGTTTACCTTGTCAGCGTCCCGGGTAGCTCGCACCCAGCCCCCGTGGCGAGGGTCCCTCTGGCAGCTGAGCAGCCTCAGCCCACGGAGGGAGCGCTCAGTGCCCAGCCAGGCAGTAGCTGTCGGGAAGCCCTGCGGGAGCCGAGGCAGGTTCCCAGGCTGCGGGGAAAGCGCATCTCTTTCGGGCGCCCTTCCTCACCCCTGGTCCCTGCTGCCGACGGGGGAGCGAACCGCGTTGTCAACAGGCAGAGGTGCCCGAGCGCTGGAGAACAGCCATGTCAGCACCCCCGCCCGCGCCGAGGATGGTCTTGCCTCATGCGCCAAATTAGCTAGTTACGACTCTGATCGGCTGCCTTACAACCTTAATGAGTCCCTGGGCAAATTCCCGTCCTTCATGGCCCAAGAGAACAGAACTGCCTGCCCTCCACATGCTCACAACACATGCAGCTCCGCACTAAGACAACGGCTGTCATTAAATATCATGCTTCAGGGTTATGCCCACTAAGGGGGTCAGGAAGGAATTATTTGGCTCTGTGCGTACTTTGGCCAGATGTATTCAGCATTTCCTCTCAGCCCCCCCTTTCTCTGAAGCATCAGGGGTTGGTCACAGCTGGAGACAGGACAGACTAGAGCTCTGAGGCTGTCCAAAGAATTCCTGCTAATTGTGCGGCTGGTAGGTCTTGCTCGCGTACACGGGAAGAACTGTCCCCTCCCCCGGTCCGATCAGCGGGGACCCTGGAGGGCATCACCTTCCTCTGCAGCGTGAATCATCTGCCAAGACCACCTGGGCATCTCTCACCTAATCAATTCCCTGTCATTGCAGGGGCCTCGGACGCACCTTGATTTCTAGTGTTCTCTGCCCAGGACACAGAGCAATTTAATTTGCCAAGGACGGAAATGGGTTAGTCTAAGCCACATAACTGGGCTCAACAGTGGGGTAACTGGGGGTACGTCTACACTACAGCGCTAGTTCGAACTAACTTAGTTCGAATTAGTTAATTCGAACTAAGCTAGTTCGAACTAGCGCATCTAGAACTAAAAACTAGTTCGAACTAGGCGTTAGTCCTCGTAAAATGAGGTTTACCTAGTTCGAACTAAGCGCTCCGTTAGTTCGAATTAAGTTCGAACTAACGGAGCGCTAGTGTAGCGCATAGGAAAGTTAGTTCGAACTAACGTCCGTTAGTTCGAACTAACTTTCTAGTGTAGACATACCCTGGGTGAGATTCTCTGGCCTGGGCTACGCAGCGGATCAGACTGGATAATAGAATTATGGTCCTGACATTAAAATTGATAAACACAGGATTGTATTTATCTTCGCAGCCCCGGGGAGGCACGGCACAGCTATCACCCCCAAAGCAATTCATGGACTTGCTCAAGCCTGCTGGGGTTGGGCAAGACGCCAGCTACAGCCCCTGCCCTTTCCTAGCACGGCTAGCTCTGGTGAGATTTCATGTTTTTTCAAACCCTGACTCCTGGACTCTCTAGACTCGGGGGAATCTCCAGGCATGTTCTGACTCATCGATTTCCAGCAGCTCTCATTACTGGAGAGAACAGCTGACAGAAACACAACCCTTCACGGCATTGACGCCAGAGAACAAATAAACAGACTAATTGTGGGTGTTTTTTGGAAGTGTCCTGATTTATGGGTCTCAGAGAGGTCGCCGTATTAGTTGGTAACTTTAAAAACAACGAGCAATCCTGTGACACCTTAGGGTGCGTCAACACTGCACGCTTATTTCAGAATAAGCTATTCTGGAAGAAATACTCCAAAACAGCTTATTTCGATATAGCACGTCTACATTACAGGGAAGCCTCAAAATTAGTCCGAGGCAGGCTTCCCTAATGCAGATGAGCTATCTCGGTTTAGAGCCCCAGGAAGCACTGGGAAGTAATTACTTTGAATGACCCTGAGGAGCTATTTCGAAATAGCAGCAATGGAGTGTCCACACGACTGCTATTCCAAAATAGCTATTTCAGAAGAGGTGTTATTTCTTGTGGCATGAAGTCTACAGAAAACGGAATAAGCCGTCCGTTATTTCAAATTTATTTTGAAATAACGTAATTGCTGCATAGATGCTCGCATTATTATTCCGGAATAATAATAATATTATTACTATTATAAGGATGGAGATGCACCCTTAGAAACTAACAAAAATATATAGAATCAGGAGCTTTCATGTGGGCAAAAACCCACTTCCTCAGATGACCTGGAATGGAAACAACAGAAACCAAGTATCTATAATAGAAAAATAAAAGTGCCTGTTGTGACGGTGCGTTGGGGGTCTCCCGTCTCCTGCACCCCGAAATGGCACAAACAGACTGCACCAGCCGGTGGAATAGAGGAAGTTTATTGCCTCTCCAGGATACAGCACAGCACAGATGTAATCTGGTCACAGAGCTGGGCTAGGATGCCTCAGGCCCCCTTGAGATGGGGGGAGACTGGGCCCCTAAACTCCAGCCCCTTTCCCTAGGCTGTCTCCTCTATGCTCCCAGCCAGCAACTAACTAACTCTCTTCCAGCCCTGCCCCCCAGCCAGGGCAGCATTCCACCTTCCTTTGTTCCTCTCCATGGGGGGTGTCTGGCCATACTGGTTTGCATAGTGACTCATCCTGTTTTGCTGGGTCGTGGTACCCACGGCAGCCAGTGGGGGTTCCCCCAGAGCCAGCAGCATAGAAACCAGCCAGGTACCCCCACTACGTCACACCTGTCAATTGTAGGACCGGT